CTGAGATTTCCAACTTAGTGTGCCTTTTTTCTTTCTTCATTTGAAGTTATGAGTTGCTTCTTCCCCAAAGCAGCTGATCTGGCTAGAAGGACCTATAGCTGCTTCCTACTTGGGAAGGACCCCATCTTGGGCCTTTTGGGGTAGGTGCTAAGAAGATCTCTTGACTTGCTTTTAGAATGGGCTTTAGATTAGAGGTGTTGGGGTCTATTCTGGCTCTAGTTACCAAAGCCACACCTCAATATTGGGATTTGTGGCCAGAGATTTATGTCAATATGTAGTGGACATTGTTCTGGACTTGTTCTCCAAGCATATGGTCAAATTCAATCAATATTTGCTAAACCAACCACCAAAGTCCTTGTCCGCATGCAACCTGGGTTCTAGTAGGGGACAGATAGTAAACAAATAAATATTTACTCTAATGTCACATGCTGACAAGAGAATGGGATAATAGTGGGCTCGGTTTGACAAGATAATCATAAAAGGTCTCTGTGGAGGTGATATATAACAGAGACCTACATCAAATGAGGGAGGGAGCCATATAAATATCTGAGGGAAGGAGTTTCCAAGAAATGAAATAGCAAATACAAAGACTGAGAGGCTAGAACAAACTTAGCAAGCTCACAGAAGACCGGGGAGTCCAGTACCATCAGGGAGAGAGAGCAAGAGTAGGGGAGGCAGGAGACAGGTAGGGGAGGTAGCCGGGGACTGAGGGCTGTTTAATAATCTTTGGTCCCCAGCTTAGCAGAGGCTTTCCCTGAAGCCCTGTGGTCCACTAGGCAGTTGAACCTGAGTCTCAGTTAAATATCTGGATGTGACCAACAATGGCTGGAAATAGTTAATGCGGCTTTCCAAACCACTCATCTAAATTGCAGTAGAGGAAGCTAAAGCAGCATGTCAAGAGACTGAAGTGGTTTGTCCCAGAGCTTTCCACCACTCCTCTTGTTCTCCCACCATCCCTAAAGACAAGGAAGATTTATTGTCCCCATTACAGAAGGAAGGAGCTGATGCGCACCCTAGTCATAGGGCTGGATGGAATGACGGAGTTCATGCCCTTGCCTCAGCCTGTGGGCTCTCATTCTCACGCATTCCCCTTACTCTGGATAATCTCATCCTACCCAAGCCCAGAAAGCCTGCTTATTTTTTAATTACAATGATTGTATAACTATAAAACCCCATGGCTATTTACACATATTTCAAATGTCAGCTGAATCATGTAGCCTGTATCTAGATTACTTATGATATTTTTAAAAAGATCAAGAAATTAATCTTCCATCAACCTTGAATATTTTGTTTAGTAAAAAATAAAAATCAGATGGTTTTAACATCTATTACCCAAATAGAAATACGATTTAGTTCTAAATAAGCACTGGATTCTATCAAGTCTATTATTTTTCCAAAATCGGGGTGGAGGACATACAGGGGATATATTCATTAACTCATTCCCCAGCCATTTTTTTTTAAAGATTTTATTTATTTATTTATTTGACAGAGAGAGAGAGAGAGAGCACAAGCAGGGGGAGTGGGAGAGGGAGAAGCAGGCTCCCTACTAAGCAGGTGTGGGACTCGATCTCAGGATCCTGGGATCACGACCTGAGCCTAAGGCAGAGGTTTAACCGACTGAGCCACCAGGCACGCCCCCATCCCCCAGCCATTCTCTTGATGAATGACTGATCATTACAAGAGTCTTGATGATTTGGGGACACATCTGAATCACTGTAGCCTTCAATTTTTGTTCATAGATTTACCTTCTGAAGCCACCCTTCTGAAGCCATCGATCCTTTTTCTGTCACCTTGACACCACATGTCCCTGTTGCTCTCTGCTCGTGAACAAGCATCCTCTGAGCTCTCTCCAGATGTCTGGTTTCCGGGCTCCTCACCTTCCAGCTTGCGGTGGTTCATCAACAAGTAGTTCCATTAAATGTGGTGCCAAGGATTAAAAATGATTCCCCATGTGCTGTCTCACCAGCACGGAGATGTGCTATTGAAGTTGTTTTCACTGTTTCTTCCTCATTAGGTAGTGTCTTTTTTTGTTCTCAGGCTCCTTGCTCACCATGGTCCCTTGCTATTTGTGGATAACATCTAGTGATTTCCCTGCTCCTTTTCCCGAAAATGTAAACAGGCTCAGTGTTCGGTCCCTAATCTTCTGTTTTCATGCCTCATATCACCTTTGTTCCCCATCTCCAAGCTTTCTTTTGGGGCCTGTATTCTTCTTTAAGTGTGTGGCATTTGCTACAGTGATCAATTATCCTAGGTAATTGCTCCTCATTTGAGCATCCCTATTCTTTCTCATTAAAGACCAGACAAGACTACTTCCTCTCATTGACCAGGTGCACCAGATCTCTTACTTCACCCCAATTTACCATTTGGCAGTTTAATACTCTCAAAGGTTTAGGAAAACAAAAACAGAAACAGAAGTAAAACCAAGGAATCACTGAAGTAGTAATTAGTGAAGGTTTATTGTGCACACACCAAAAAAAAAGACAGTTTGCAAACCGGGAGTACTCAAACCAAAACATGGGATGAGACTCAGAGGATATTGTTATAAAGCAGCTTAGAGATCTCGGAGGCAGGGACTGTTTATTCTTCACAGTGCTTGGTAACAATATTAGAATTTTCTTCAATGATAGAGAATTGGTTAGTGGTTATATCTTATCAATTTGGGGGAAGAATTTAAGTTTCAGTTATGATTTTCAGAGGCATAAGTGAGATGTGACCCAGGTTGTTAGCCTCGTTTGTCATGCAAAATAAGCTAAATTAAGCTTTGCTTGTATGACTAAACTGGTTTTTGTCTGGCTCAGGAAATTTTCAAGTCTGGTCTCCGTGTGTTTGATTTTAACAGTGCTTTCGAGCTCATTCACTGAGGCGCCTAATTTGAGTAGCTTTGCTTGCTCAGTGGACAGCTGGCTCCTCTGTTCTGTTTCCTCCCTACAGTAACAGACTGCTGTTTTCCTCTGAGCAGCTTCTTCTGGGGGCCACCCAGGGATCTGCTAACCATGCAAGAGAGAACACTTTTTTGTTTTGGTTGGGGGCGTCAGGCATCTTTACAAACCCAGTTAAGCTTTCTCTCCTAGTTTCCAGGTATCTTGGTAACGATGGTCTACTTTGTCTTTCTGAGGTTGTAAAATGAGGCTAATGGCCCCTTCTCATTACATCTCAGCTCCACTGGGCCTTTTAAACTCCTCCAGTCCGTGCCTCATGTATTGGTTCACATTATTTGCCGCTGTTATAAATGTGATTTCTTCTTGCTTATCAGACACACCCCCTAAAAATACATGTGTTAACAGTTCCTGTGCTGCATGTTTAAGAATTCAGATGAGTCAAAAGTGGGCATTCAGGGAGAGTACACTCTGGAACGCTAACTTAAAATTCCAGTCAGCAATCCTTTGGAGATGTAAATTGAGGAAGCAGCCCTCCTTTTGGACAGCTTAATGATCTGTAGTTAATAGTAAGAGGCTGCTGGGCAGATGCCATACAGCTGGGCTTACGTTAGCCTCTCTCAGCTCTCCAAATTGCCCCGTGATTACAGCCATTGAGATTCAGAATCCTACCCGGGATCAATAACCAAAAGCACAAACAAAGATCTGGCGGTGGCTTGTCAGTGTGGCCTTTCTCTGCACACCGTCCTGCCCAAGCCAGCGACTGACCCCTTCTCCCTGGTCCTGCCTCAGGCTGAGCCGTCGCCTGCACGAAAACTAGAGAACTAGCTCCCCAACAAGTCTGGGATGAAGAGTGCTGGACTGAAGGCCAACTTCTTCTCTTACTTGAGTGCACACAATTTCATTAAACTTGACGGAGACTGAGTGTCATCTCTTGGTAGGAAAATATAAGCCTGGAAGCCATATAGTCATAGTTCCTGGAGGCAGTGGGCTTGTTTTTATGCCTTATATGTAAAATCGGCTTGGATTACTGTGTGTTGAGGTGGCAGGTCCATTTACAATTCCCAGGGTCTTGTTATTTTCACTCAGAAACTCAAGTGAATTCAACAACCACCACCACAAAACAACCCATTCAAAAATGGGCAAAGGATTTGTAGAGACATTTCTTTAAAGATGATGTACAAAGGGCTGATAGGCACGTAAAAAGATACTCAACGTCACTAATCATTAGGGGGGGATACAAATCGAAATCGTAATGAGGTATCACCCCACCCCCATTTGAATGACTAGTATCAAAAAGCAGAAAATAACCACTATTGACAAGATTGTGGAGAAATTGGAACCATCGTGCACTGCTGGTGGGGACACAAAAAGGTGCAGCTGCTGTGGGGAAACAGGATGGCAAGTCTTCAAAAATAGAATGACCATATGACCCAGCAATTCCATTTCTGGGGATACACCCAAAAAAGAATTAAAAGCAGGACTTGAAGAGATATTTGTACACCCACTTTCCTAGCACCATTATCCCTCATGGCCAAAAGGTGGAAGCAATGCAAGTATCCATTGATGGATGAATGGAAATGTAGGGTATACCTACAGTGAATAGGATTCAGCCTTAAAAAGGACACAGGCTACAACATGGATGAGCCTCAGGGACACTATGCTGAGTGAAATAAACCAGTCACAAACAACAAATACTATATGGTCCCACTTAACATGAGGCACCTAACATCGTCAAATGTGTAGACAGAAAGTAGAATGGTGGCTGCCAGGGGCTGAGGGAGGAGGAATGAAGAGTTATCGTTCAATGGGTACAAAATTTCCCTTCTGCAAGACGAAAAGAGTTCCAGAGGTGGATGGTGGTGAGGGTTGCACAGCTATGTGAATGTACTTAAGGCCACCGAACTGTACACTTAAAAATGGTTAAGGTGGCAAATCCTGTTACATGGATTTTACCACAGTTAAAAAAAAAAAACAAAGCTCAGCTGAAGGATGCCATATTCTCTCAGCAATCCACGCTGTTGAGGGAGATTAGAAATTAAAGAAGGAAAAAAACCACTTGAGGGAATAGATCTTGAATTTATGTATAACTAATTACAAATATATATATATTTTTTTTTACAGAGTCATTTTTCTCTCAAGAAGGGAGCCGCAGCTTTGGGGATTGGAACAGACAGCGTGATTCTGATTAAATGCGATGAGAGGTGAGTGTGCATCTGCAACCCTTCATTGGTTGGCAGTTTGCAACTTCCACACATGTATCTTTTAGTCCAAACGCAGGCATCAACTGTGGGGGGGGGGGGCAAAACCGCCTCCATCCCGGCTTGCTGTTCACTGTTTCTTTTTCATGTGGGCTCTTGCTCGGAGTCCTGGGACATTGTTCCTCAATGCCATGGAGCCTTCCATGGCCCTTGACTGAATTGGCACTTTTGTTAAATCAATCAAAATATTCTGCACCAAGAAGATGCAGAAGGGCACTCATCACCTGGGCACTTAAGCACCAACCAGCAGTTTGAGCATTGATTTATGGAGGTGTCATCATTCTAGGTGCCATGGATTGTGTGAGCTTGATGGACTGATTATGGAAGGGGGGACAGTTTAGTGAGCAGGAAGTAAATAATGCCCCCAGCAATTTGTCCACTTTGTCTTGGAACCAAAGAGCTCTCTTAGGGAAAATCCCTGCCTTAATAGGCACCCAAACCTCATAGGTACTCTGGGAATAGATGTAGGATTAAAAAGCATTTCCAGCACATCCACGTAAATTTTCACTAGCCTATAGGTCTGGAACTGATAAGAAATTAAATTTAGTCTCTAAAGAATTAGTAAGAAATTTCACTAAATTAAAAGGGAGCTACTCAATTAACCATTTTTTTCATATGTATTTATTAGGCAGACTTCATGTTTCCCCACCATATCCTGAGGCTCCAGAAAAGCATAGGGCATCATCATCCCAGTTCCCTGACAGTCTATGATCTAAGGGAGATAGGATAACACCAGAAGGAGACAGTTAGAGGGTTGAATCGTGTGGCACAGAGAACCTGTTCTGGATATTGGTAAGGCTCGGAAGGCTCCATGCAGCAAGCAAGACTTGTGCTCTCAAAGATTTTCACAGTGAGGGATGAACTGAATGGATGGAGGGGAAGTGGGGGGCCATTACAGAGGACGGAACACCACAAGCAAAGCCCCAGAAGTAGGAGTGAGCATGTGGAGCTGCAGAGAGGAAAGGGGCCTGACCAGGGGTATCAAGGAGGAACGGTCATGGCAAACCCGGTGGGCCATGTGGGATTTTGAAAGCTCAACAAAACACACTGATTGATGGCGCATCTCTCTCCCCGGGAGGGAAAATCACAAGGGGTTGCCGCTTTCTTGTCCACGCCTTTACATCTTGCCTGATGCGATCTGGTTGTTTACAAGGAACACGTGCTACTTTTACAATCAGAAAGAAAAAGTGGCGTTTCCTTTTTCCTTGTTGTGGGGGGAGGACACCAAACTTAGCACTTGAGCTTGATGCATCCGCAGTCAAGGTCATTTTTATCCAAGAAGGGCATGAGAGAAACCATCCTTCCGGAAGCAAGGCAAGGAGAGGCCTGGGTCAATGAGGCTGGGCGTGAGGCTCTAGCAATAGGACGGGTGGGAAATTCGAAGGACTGCAGCAAGGCAGGCATATTTTGAAGGAGAAACTGCTTATATTTTTAAGACTACCAGTCTACAAAAATCGCTAACAGGGAATAAAGGTTTAGATGACTTCAGCCTTGTTCTTAATCTGTAGCCAACTCTTATAAGGAGCCTAGAATTTGGGGAAGGACGGTCTAGACAGGCCCTGTTAGCTGACCTACTCTGTCTTCTAATCTAACCTGCTTAGCAGCTGTTTTTGACCTTGAAGCCCAGTGGGTGAGGGATGACCTGGGAGAACAGAGGGTACTCGTTACCTCATGCCTCGAGGCATCGATATTGCTGCTTCTACTCCTGTGAAAATCAGGTTGTAACGATGCAAGTGGCCTTGGGATGAGCCCACCCAACCAGCCAGCCAGGCATTCCTGGGAGCCGAAGGCTGGCCTGAGGACTGCTGACTGTCTGAGGGCAGGATCATGCTCCCAAGGGAAGTGCAGGCCTGGAAGAAGGAAAGGCAAGAAGGAAAAGCAAAAAAGTCGCAGGAACAGGGAGCACAGAAGAGGTTGCCAGGAACAGATGCCAAAAGATGTCTGTCGTTCACCAACAGCAGAGAAAGGAGCAGAAAGCAGAGAATGCTGGGAAACCAATGGGGGCTCGAATCCGTGACTAGCCACGTCACCCCAAATTTTTAGGTCAAAGAATTTTATGTCAACAATTTTAGAAGCCATTAGAAACACTAAAACACGATGTTAAAAATTACCGTTTTTTCAGAAAATACCTCACTTTCCCCGGCAACTCCCCCCCGCCCCACATATACCCACTGGGAGAGGATAGAGGGAAGAGACTACCAGGCACGTGGGGCTAGGTGGGGCTTTTCCTTCTTCTGCTCATGAGCTTTGTGGGGTGGGGAAGGGAGGAGAGAACAATACAGGAGGAAGAAGAAAGAAAGAAAAATAGATTTATAAATAAGAAATAAAAGATGGGAGAAATAAGGACCAGGAGGAAAAAACAAATTGCAATGAAGTATGAAGTGAAGCAAGGAGGCAGGAAGTACAGTTGAAAACACGGGGGTCAAGGGCACTGACCTCCCCACCCCTTGCAGTTGAAAATTCACATACAGCCTTTGACTCCTCCAAAACTAAACTACTAAGAGCTACTGTTGACCAGAAGCCTTACCAATAACATAACCAGTCAATTAACACATATTTTGTATGTTTTATATATATTACATACTATATTCCTAGAACAAAGCAAGCTAGAGAAAAGAAAATGTTATTAACAAAATCGTAAGGAAAATACATTTACAGTACTATATTGTATTTATCAAAAAATATCCATGTGTTAGGGGCACCTGGCTGGCTCAGTCGATGGAGCATGCGACTCTTGATCTCGAGGTTGTGAGTTCGAGCCCCACAGTGGGTGTAGAGAATTACTCAAAAATTAAAAAATCTTAAAAAAAAAATATCTGTGTGTAAATGGACCTGCACAGTTTTCAGACCTGGGGGCAAGAAGCACATGAGAACTTTAAAGAGGAGTAAGTGATCGTTTTTACTATCTGAAAAACAATACATGCTTACTTTAAAAAATACAAAATAACAGGGAAAAATTGTCATTCCACCACCGAAAGATCATCACTAATACCATACTGGTGTCTAAATCTCGAATCTCTTTTTCTAAGCATAGAGGTTTGAGTTTTTTTCTTTTCCTGTTTTAATTTTCATATTTATGATCATGTTTCTTTTTCTAACTAGACATGATAAGTATTTTCCCACATTATTGCAAACACTCTTAACTACATAACATATGAGAAAGCATGATAGTACTTTGTTTTTTATTGTTTTAAAGATTTTATTTTATTTGAAAGAGAGAGAGTGAGTGAGAGAGCGAACATGAGCAGGGGGAGGGGGAGAAACAGACTCCCTTGCTGAGCAGGGACCCTGATGTGGGGCTCGATCCCAGGACCCTGGGATCATGATCTGAGCCAAAAGGAGATGCTTAACCAACTGAGCCACTCAGGCGCCCCACATGATAGTACTTTGAAGGGCGGTTTCTGGAGCTGGATTCTTTGACCCCCTCGCCCCGTCTCAGCTCCAGCACTAGCTTGGGCAAATCCCTCTCTGTGCTTCAATTTTCTTATCTGAAAAAAGGAAAAAGTAAGGGCCCTGCTTCATAGGGTTATTACGCCAATTAAATGTGTTAACAAATATAAAATACTAAAAATGATATGTAGTAGTAGAAAGCAAACACAAAATATTACCCCTTCCTGTTCATTTCCCTGTTTCTGGTGTTGCTATTATAAATAATCCTTCTGTCCTTCATTGAACATTCTTATGTTCCCAGGCTTCTCCATTTAGGCTTATTTCTTAGTATAATTGCTAACTTAAGTTATATGAATATTCTTAAGGAAAGTGATACATCAGGCCATATTGCCTTTCAAAAGGTTTCACCAACTTATTCTCCTAGCAGTATTGTATGAGAGCATGTTGGGGGAAAATTAAAGCTGTGTTGGTAGCTACATGTAGTCTTTAATTCTATATTGATAATTCACATCATCTCTATAGAATGGTTTTAAGACTGAGAGCCTGGCCTAATGGATTAAGTGAAATTGAAGTGTCTGGGTTCGGGGGCCAAGGAGCAGACTTCGGACAGTCATCTGTAGCCACCATTCCAGTCAGAATCAGTTAAAACATGCTGGGCAGCCATTTTGTTTTTATTAATCACATCCTTGTGAAAGTCAGATGTTTGGATCAGAAAATCGCTTGAGGCTGACAAAATGCATACCTGCCTTCTTGTTTCTCCTAGTGTGCTTGGCAAAGTTCATCAAGGTTTTACAAAACATGAACCTGGACCTGCTCTCGAAGACATTCATTTCTTAGTAACTAATGGACTCTGCCCCTTAGTCTGTCAGTGGCTGGGGTAATAGGTTTTATCTTGTTCTACAGACAATTGACTTAGTGGGAAGCTCACAATGAAGGGAAATGTCCTAGTGAAGAAGAATAGTCTCCTAGTCCAATGCCACATATGGAAGAAAATACTGCAAGATACTGTCTCTTAATTAGTAATCACAGGTGCTCAGTTTGGTAACCCATTCAAAGTGAAACATGATTCTCAGTTAAAACAAAGAAAGAGAAATATATAATAAATCTTCGTGTATTTGGAAAAGCTTCTTTCAAAGTTGAAAATCAAAAAGCATATTAACTTTATTATTACTCTAATAAATAAAATAAGGCAATGGAAAACCTCACTTCACCACGGCTTACATTTGAATGTGAAGTATCATAACTAAAAAGATTGTTCTATTTTTGTAAAAATTAATAATTAAATTCAAAAGAGAATAATGTGTTAAATGAATCTTCGATTTCATAAGTTCTAGTGTAAGAGTTCTTTTTCCTTAGAAGCAAAAAGTTGAATCTTCACAATAATGGTATTAATGGATTTTTATTTAAGTATCCTTGGGTCTAATAATTGCAAATTTTGAGTTAGTGGAATCCAATTAATGCTGCATTGATGATATCTAAGGATAGAAAAGTGTGAGTTAATATCTAGAGAAAAATAACTATTTGTGAAAGAAACTGAGTGATACTTCAGAATT